TACATACATTGCTCGCAACATAATGCTGCCCAACTCTAGCTATAATTACACGTGTATTTTTGTTCCCCCTGCGACCTTAGGTCTTTGGACTGGGCAACAAAACGTACGAGCACTACAACAAGGTTGCTATCTATGTGGACAAGCGGCTGGAGGAGCTGGGCGCCAATCGTGTGTTCGAACTGGGACTAGGCGATGATGATGCCAAGTAAGTTCTAGCCTGGAACAAAGTTCATTTTGTGGCCATACTTATTCAGTATTCTCCCCTCTCCAGCATTGAAGATGACTTCATTACGTGGAAGGATCGCTTTTGGCCAGCCGTTTGCGATCACTTTGGTATCGAGGGTGGCGGCGAGGAGGTGCTCATACGCCAGTACCGCCTGCTGGAGCAGCCCGATGTGCTGCCCGATAGAATATACACTGGCGAGATTGCTCGCCTGCACTCGATGCAGAACCAGCGACCGCCGTTCGATGCCAAGAATCCCTTCCTCGCGCCCATTAAGGTCAATCGGGAGCTGCACAAGGGCGGCGGTCGGTCGTGCATGCACATCGAGCTGAGCATCGAGGGCTCCAAGATGCGCTACGATGCAGGCGATCATGTGGCCATGTATCCGATCAACGACAAGAGCCTCGTGGAGAAGCTGGGCCAGCTGTGCAATGCGGATCTGGACACGGTGTTCTCGCTGATCAACACGGACACGGACAGCAGCAAGAAGCATCCGTTCCCCTGCCCCACCACCTATCGCACGGCCTTGACCCACTACCTCGAGATCACGGCCATTCCGCGCACCCACATTCTCAAGGAGCTGGCGGAGTACTGCACAGACGAGAAGGAGAAGGAGCTGCTGCGCAGCATGGCCTCCATTAGCCCCGAGGGCAAGGAGAAGTACCAGAGCTGGATCCAGGATGCCTGTCGCAATGTTGTGCACATCCTCGAGGACATCAAGTCCTGCCGGCCGCCAATCGATCATGTGTGCGAGCTGCTGCCGCGCCTGCAGCCACGTTACTACTCCATCTCATCGTCGGCCAAGCTGCATCCCACCGATGTGCATGTAACGGCCGTGCTGGTCGAGTACAAAACGCCCACCGGCCGCACCAACAAGGGCGTGGCCACCACCTACCTAAAGAACAAGGTGCCCAGCGGCAGCGAGGAGGTCAAAGTGCCCGTCTTTATACGCAAGTCGCAGTTTAGGCTGCCCACGAAGCCAGAGACGCCCATTATCATGGTGGGACCGGGCACGGGACTGGCGCCCTTCCGCGGGTTCATCCAGGAGCGACAGTTCTTGCGCGATGAGGGCAAGACTGTGGGCGAGTCGGTGCTGTATTTCGGCTGCCGCAAGCGCACCGAGGACTACATCTACGAGTCCGAGCTGCAGGAGTGGGTCAAGAAGGGCACGCTCAATCTCAAGGCGGCGTTCTCCCGCGATTCCGACAAGAAGGTCTACGTACAGCATCTGCTGGAGCAGGATGCGGATCTAATATGGAATGCGATTGGCGAGAACAAGGGACACTTTTACATATGCGGGTGAGTTCAAGTCTACGGGAGAGCCTTTCTGGACAGACTTTTGACCTTTCAATCCGTTCTATCCCCTCTGCAGTGACGCCAAGAACATGGCCGTGGACGTTAGGAACATTTTAGTGAAAATTTTGTCCACCAAGGGTAACATGAGCGAGGCCGATGCCGTGCAGTATATCAAGAAGATGGAGGCCCAGAAGCGCTACTCCGCCGATGTCTGGAGCTAATCGAAGCGGCTCCCAGAGTAAAAGCGAACGAGCGAACTAGTGTCGAAACACGCATAGAAAAAGAAAACAAAACACATAATGGAAGCAGATGAAGATCCACGATAAGCTTAAAGTTGGCTAGTTCGTTAAGCGTAAATATAGGTGTAATAATTTTTGGTTTGGGAACTCCTTCTGCGGTTCAACAAACAGTGAATGAGAGTAGTAACGATTATTATTGTATATGTCTATATATCTAGTTTAAACAAATGATTAAGCAATGATGCATGAGCTGAAGCGTAATCGAGTTATTGTTATAAGTAGTTTTTGTATGTGTGTGCGATTATTAATTTAAAACACATTTTTACATGCATTTTATTTTGTATTCTCTTGGTGATTTCTAAAACGAATTCGAGACATGTTGTGCAATTTTATCAATGACACTGAAATTGTATTTTTACAAATAAACAAACAAAAAGTCAAATATACGCATATATTTTCACACAAATAATTGTTTTCATTTAAACTTCGCGCTTTCAATCGATAGCAAGGCTCATCGATGATTCGCTGTTGTATTTGATGAACGCACAAGCACCTGTTATCGAAGCAGCGCACTGTTAATGCAAGCAATGCATTACATCTTGAAAATATAAATGTAACATTTATTATGTAAAAAATGTATACAAATGTGCATACTCAAAACTTAAATGAATCTATTCCGATCAACAAAAGAAACACAAGTTAACACATTGTCCACCAGCGGGTATACTCCCACGTAAATTATAAAACTTTAAGTATTTTATTCATTTTAGTATTTTATTTTATTTTTTTTTATTTCCCGCTGGTTTGAATCAAGTTGATTGCCTGTTTAAATATAGAGGGCTAAAGTGGGCCCAGCTCCCTGAAGACTAAGACTCACAAAGTGCTGTTAAGTGCCATAACGGCACTTGGTGGCAAAACATTGTGATATTTAACGTGTTTTAACTTCAATTTAAGCTAAGCATAATCGCCTAACGGTTTTCTTTAACAAGTAAGTGCTGATTATTATGTTAATCCAAGACCCCCGCTCGCTCAAAATGGGGCAAAGTGTGTCGCAAAGTCTCACGCAAACGCGGTGACTCGAACATTTGACGCACCTTCTGCTTGGCAAAGTCGGCGTCGGTGAAGTTCTCCAAATTGTTGTCTGCCGTCTGGGACTTCTCCTGGCTGACGGTGGGGAATATGCCATAGCTGGCAAAGAATCCATAGCACTCGCGGCGGTGCACCTCCTCCAGTATTTGCTCGTAGCTGGGCACAGGGATGCCCAAGTCGAGGTTTAGCAGCGTCTCTGACATGCGCGTGTGATAGATGCGCAGAAGCTGGGGCCGCTTGTGTCGCAGCACCTCCAGACTGAGGCTGGTGTAGAAAAAGTAGTTCAGATCGATGCCCGGGCTGCCCCAGATGCTCAGCTGGAAGTCAATGAGGATCAGGTCCTGCGGCCGCTTGGCGTTGTCGTACTTGAAGAGTAGATTGTTCACCCACAGGTCGCCGTGGTTGAGCACCCGGATCTCCTTGTCCTGCAGCGCCTGGCTGCGCACCAGATTCGCGCGCTGATTTTTCATGTACTTGGCAATCTTTTCGGCAATGCGCTCGTAGCCCGGCCAGGTGCTCACCACGGTGTGCAGCTCCTCGCCGTTGCCCGCAAAGAAGCGCATCAGAAGGCCATCGTCCTTGGCCAGGCCGTTGGGCGACAGCATACCATCGCTGTAGGACTCAAAGATGTGCGGATCCAGCACTGCCAGCGCCATGGAAGTGGCGTGGAACTCCGCCAGACGTTCCATAACCAAGCGGCAGTGCTCCTCATTAAGGCCCGATTCGCGGCAAGCCATCACAAAGCCCAAATGGCCGAGATCCTCAAATACCAGCGTGTTCTCCGGCTGCTTAAGGCACTGAAAGAGTCTGCGAAAAGAGGGAATTTAATACGGAATTAAACCTTCTATCCGAACTTAGCTCCTTACTTGGGTCCAAAGCGCCGCTTGCATTGCATGAGCAGCTCCAGGCGGGGCAGCACATCGTGATAGGTGATCTTCTCCTTCAGGTAAACCTGCAGATCCTCAATAAACTCTACGGACTCCACCCGCGGTATGCTCTTCACAATGAACATCATGTGCTGGTCCGCCTGGCCGGGCAGCCTATACGCCACCTTTGTCCGGTAGATCTGACTGCAGTAGTTCTCGCCGGTGCTGCTGCCCATTCGAATGTGAATGCTCAGCAGCTCGACCCTGGCCGTCCGCAGTGCTGTCTCCAGCACCTCCTCAAAGAAGGCCACATCCAGATGCTTGGGCGGAGCGGCCACTTCCGCATCATACACAATGCTGCACATTTTGTGATCGTTTGCAAAGCGTCGAGCGAGTGGCCCTCTATTTTATAAGCGACAGAGACACACACAGCGCACAGTACCCTGCGACTGTTTCCCCTGTTTCCACGGCTTCTACGGTTTCCATTTGCCAATTAATTATAGTTATATTGCTTGTTTTTAGAAGAGAATATAAATTCTCTTAATAGGCGTAAACTTGTTGTCTAATTTTCGATATTCTCAAACACGCGAGAATCGCGACTCGCAGGGCGGCCTTTTTTTAGACAGTTTTTGGCCTGTACTCGCCAAAGCATCTCCCTCGGCTGTGAGCGCTTGCTGGCTGGCTCTAGCTTTCATTCAAACTGATACTGATTGACAGCCGATTAACTTATCAAGCTTCATGGCCCTATAGCAGCGTATTTGCATTATTTTAATCGGTATTACAGGCGTTCTTTATACATACATATATATGGATGTTTATGGCATATATTATAAGTATTCACAGATAGGGTGCGGTCTGCTGATAAATGCCTGCACGCATTTCTCTCGATTTAATTGATACTCTGTATGACACTTATTGGCAGAGAGTTAGCATATATCTTGATTATTTATATATTGCTTAAACGAGTTTAGTGTTTTTTTATTTTCTCCCTGGAAAGCTTTAATATAAATCCAAAAACGCTTCTCTTTTATTTGAATAAATCAAAGAAATTATAGCTAATATTTAAAAATATACAGGATGAATCTATTGCAGCATTGAGCTGTGTGGTCTCATATTTTATTAGTAAACTTTACAAATCTGCGGAGAAAACTGGATTATAACTCATTATTTATTAGTTGGGAAAATGAGACAATTTTTGTGCCACTTAATCACTTTTAATCAACAGAAATGTTGTATTTGTACAATTATTTCCTACTTTACGATGGATTCATTAAAGTTTCTGGCTTGTTAAAATGAGTACCTCTCCCGTACGCAGTATATGCAAGTTTATTGAGCGTTTTTGGGTAATTATCCACTCATGGCACCCATGTGAAATTTGTTGATTCTAATTTAAATGCAAACTAATATCTATATTCCATTTGATTGTATCAATTCGTTGGCATTATCTCATACATCGTATAATTTGTATCAATCTGTGGCCATTATCTGCATGCAATGTGGCTAATGTGAGGCTAGTGATATTTCTGTTTTAATTCAAAGATGATCTCATATATGGGAAAACATTTTAGTCAAGCGACAGACAAACTTCCAATGGGGGGGCATGGGGCGGGCAATCAAGTCTGTCGAATTCTTTATTCAATTTGCAAAGTGTGTGCGCCTGCCGCACAATTATAATTTTTTATAAACAATTACAAACGTTCAGTCGAACAGATGGAGCTCATCGAGACGTTTCAGCGTGCACTTCAAGCTCTCCAGGGTACGTGCATTTCCCTCAAACATCAGCTGCACCTTCTGTCGGGCAAAGGTCTCGTCGTGAAAGTTCTGCAAAGAGTTATCCTCCGAGTCGACGCCAATCATGCTCATCAGCGGAAAGAAGCCGAAGGCCACAAAGAACCCATAAGCCTCGCGTGCCTTTATCTCCGACATGACGGCATCATACGTGGGCAGTGGCTTGGACCAGGGCAGCTGCTCCAGACACGCCACCAGTGCCTCGTAGTAGATGTCGATGAGGCGCTGACGCTGGCTGCGCAGCACCTCCAGCTCCAGGCTGGTGTTCAGGAAGTAGTTGATGTCAAAGCCCAGGCTGCCATAGAAACAAAGCTGAAAGTCGATCTGGAAGAGCGATAAAATGACTCTCCCGGAGGTAGCTCTTTGTGTCTGATGTGCACTCACAATCTTGACTTGCTCCACTTTGTATTCCTGATTGTATTTAAAGAACATATTGTTCACCCACAGATCGCCATGGTTGAGCACATTCAGATTTCCCCTCAACGGATACACAGACTTGAGGATGCGGTCCGTGAAGTGCTCGTGATAGCGATAAAGCTTCGAGGTTATGGCCCCAAAACCCTCGGTATCGCCCACGAGAGCTGCCAGCTTCAGGAGCTGGGTGCCAAAGAGCAACTTGAAAGGCTCCGACTTGATGGCATCCATGTGCAGCAGTCCAAAGGGATAGCGGTCGATGACGGTCTCGGGCTCGTGCTCGGCCATTACCATCGTTAGGGCATGATATTCTGCCAGTTTGCGCATCAGAAGCGTCGCATGATCCATGTCCAGGCCGAGTTGACGACATTTCAATTGGTATCCCTCCGAGCAAAGGTCCTCAAAGATGATGGTCTGCTCTGGCTGTGTGGTGGAGTAGTAGTGTCTGTCCAAGAGAGGCTTAAAGTAGAGGGAAAAGCTAAGGCAAGCCCCTGTCTCATGCCTCACCTCGCACCCAATGTCCAGGGCTCTGTGGAGTCGCTTCTGCCCCACATGAGCGTCTCCAGCTTTGGCTTAACGTGCATATAGAAGACACTCTCCTTGTTGTAGATGTGCAGTCGTGCCAGTATGGCCTGCTTCTCGTCCGGCATGGACTTGACAATCAGCGACGTCTCCACATGTCTGCCCTCCGCATTTCGATACTGAATGTTGGCCCTGTAAATGTTGCTGCAGTAGTTCTCGCCGCCACGCGTCAGATTCGTCAGTTGTACTTCGAGGACCTTTAGATCCTGCTGCTGCAGACCGTGCTCGAGGGTGCGCTTAAAGAACTGCGGCGTTAGATACAGCGGCAGCTGCTCCTCCGTTGTCTCCGACATGGTGCTTCAATATGCCATTGATCGGTGCATTATTCAGGGTTTTTATATGTAAAATCTCGTCGATGTTTCCAACTGATTTCTGTTGCTTCTAATTGATCTTAATGGGCTCGGGGCATTGGGGCACTGGACCTGCCGTCAATTGCCCTAATGAAAGTGCATTCTCTTTGCGGATTAGCGGCGTGGGCTTTTGATCAAATGAAGACATAATGGAGATGTTCGTAGAGAAGCGTTTGATGCATAGGAACTTATCTTTTAATTTATCCCTAAAGTGTGTGGATTTGCAGACTATTTAATGGTCTGGGACTCTCTAAGATAATTTTTAAGTCTAGACAGCTAGAAAGCTTTTTTATCACTCAAAGCTTCGATTTTACTGGGACTTGGCTAGACTATGGTGGGGATTTTCCTCAATTGTTCCCTTAGTTCGCTGTTCAAAACGAAAGACCAGAGACGAGTCAATTATTTGCATGAACAAAATTCAGAGATTTTTTGAAGATTTAGGATTTGTCCAACAACCACAGAAAGCCTCAGCCTGACGCGTCATGTACGGGAAATATATTTTTGTCCTACTTTTCTCTATTGCATCTCGAGTTAAGCATTCGGCGTGAAGCGTCATGCACACGACATGAATTGAGTTTCAACTTTAAAGCGTGATAAGAAACATATCCAAATTAGACAACCAATTGCATTGGTTTCGTTTAATTGAACTCCACTCTACATACAGTCACAGGTAGATCCTTGTACACAAAATCTACAATAATCAGGCTGCTGTGTGGCACAGATGTGGTGCTCGGTGCCACCCATCTTGAGCCCATTGCATTGTCTTTTATCACAAATGTTAGTCAGTACCTAACCCCATTATGAAGAGAATTCTTCAACGTCTAGTAATCCCCAAAGACGCCGAGCGCATCGAAACGCTTGAGGGCCCACTTCTGGTAGTCGTTGAGAGACTTTTGGGCAAAGATGGCATCCATTTTCTTCTGCTTAAAGGACTCATCCTGCATGTTGTCGATGCTGTTGTCCGCCGACAGCTCCTTGGGCATGGTGATCATGGGCAGGAAAGCAAACATGGCAAACACTCCATAGGTCTCGCGGCTACGCAGCTCGTAGAGCAGGTCCTCGTAGGTGGGAATGTGCTCAAATCGTGCGTACTCCAGGGTATCCCTGAAGGCCTCATAATAAACCTTGATGAGCTCCTCGCGACGCTCTTGCACTAACTGCAGCTTGAGGCTGGTGTTCAGGAAGAAGTTCAGATCGCAGGCAGGACTACCGTAGAAGGACAGCTGAAAGTCCACGAAGATGGCACGCGTGGGCGCCTCCGGCTGGGCTGCATTGTCATAGCCATACATGAAGTTGTTGGTCCACATGTCGCCGTGATTCAGCACCACATAGCGATCGCCGGGCTTGGGCTTTGCGGCCGCAGCACACACGTTCCGGAAATTGTTATTAAAACGCTGCAGATGTTCGCTGATGTGCTTGTAGCCGGGCCAACCGGCAGAAACCTTGATGAGACCCTTGAGGAAGCCACCGAACATGTTCTCAAAGGTGTCGGTCTTCATCAGAATATCCTCGCTGAGCATGCCGCGTGTGTACTGCTTTACGATCTCTGGATCCTACAGAGGAAATTGTATCTCTAATTAGTATTCTCCAAGCATTTACGATGCAAATATCCTGCCTACCTTCTGTGCCAGCACCATGGAAGTGGCGTGAAATTTGCCCAGCTGCTGCAGAATGAGCGAGGCATGATTCCAGTCGAGTCCTGACTCGCGCGAAGCCACCCTGAAGCCCTCCACTTTAAGGTCGCTAAAGACAATCGTCTGCACGGGTCCCTTGACAGAATGGTAGTATCTATGGTGAGGGTTACGGAACATTCATTTTGAGCCCTTGATGGTTGATCAACTTTCACTCACTTGGCCCCAAACTTGTCGCCGCGACTGAGTATATCCAACCGTGGGAGAATATCGGTGTAGGTCTGCTTCTCCTTGATGAAAACACTAACATCCTCGAGGAACTGTGTGGCCTCGGTGATCGGAATGGTCTTGACAATCAGCGAAAGTTGCTCCTTGTTCGCGGACTCCTTGCCGTCCAACCATTTGGCGAATGTCACCTGAACGCGATAGATGGCCGAGCAGTAGTTGTCCCCCGGGTTGCTGCCCCACTCAAAGTTAATTTCTTTGAGGCTAACCTTTGTCTCCCGCAGACCCTCTTCCAGAGTTTCGGTAAAGAATTCCTCGTTCAAGTACTCGGGCACCGAAATCTTTTGCTTGTTATTTATGACCACCATCTCGAAGTTTTTCTTTTTTTGAGTTTGTCCAACTATTTTCACCGTAGATTTCTCTCTGTCGTGCAACACTTTCGCGCTAACCTTCCGACTCAGACTGATTTCAGTGCCAAAGAGAACGCAGCGTTTTATAATGTCGTTGGGTTTCGGCAGGTTCCTTTTTTGTTTTGCTCTCCAAATGGCTCTGCCGTGGTGTCATCATGAAAACCGAATTCATTCAGCGACAAACGGGCACTGGGACCGTGGTAAAATAACTGCGAGAAAGTGTTTAAGTTTATGTTTATTACGGGGTTCTTATTGGACTTCGTTGTTTGCTCTTTTTTGAGTATGCAGAGAGTGGCTCAGTAATGGAGGAATGAGCGATAAATTGCCCATAAGAGCGGAAAGTATAATCTGTATTTCATAATGTTCTATCCTGTTCCATGGCAAGTATATGGCACTTTTACCATGGGTGTGATTTGTATTCTGTTCCAATATTTATTTTATAATATTTGCTTTTAAAAGCGGTTATCGTTGCTCCTGTTATTTTCAATCATCACTTTCTTTTTGTGCTCTCTGATTTCTGCATACATTATTTAGAAATATTACTTCAAATTTAATTTAAATGTATTTAAAATAAAATGACTCTCGCCCCACTGTTTCCACTTCATAGACACTAACTAGTCTCTATTGCGTTGGCTCCTCTAGCTTCAGTATGGCTTTGTGCACAGTCATTGACTTTTTAATAATAATAAAAAAAAACAGTAAAACAAAAGCAAAACGCTAATGAGAGATTTTTTGGACTACACATGCTTTGTGGGTTGATAGAGCAGCCGAATTAATTAGGTTTTTTCTTGAATTTTGTGTGGCTCTTGACGTCATGAACAGTGCTCTCTGGAGCCCCTAATGTGTTGAGACCCAAGTGTCAATACCGCTCGGCTGTGGCGGTGTTTTCCGGGAGTGCGACCAGCCAGACAGGCGGTGTTCCGTCTGCTGGAGCACCGCCTGTCAATGGGTCAGCAGAACTAGTATTTATTTCAATGTTTGCTCTACGTGTTATCACTCCAGTGCCATGTACTCGTATTACCACGTATACCCATGGATGGGCTTGCTTGTATTTGGTCGTGTCGTGTCGTGTGTCGTATAATTTAGCTTTACTTTTAGTTTGTTTTTCCATGACGCCAGAGGTTTGGGTTTCGCACGCTTAATGAATGCCGAAGAATAGATTTTTGCGAACAAGAATACAATTGAGATGGAACAGAGGCGTAGTTTCAAACGTTTACCTAGTCGTTAAGTCTAAAAACGCAATCGTTAGATTAAATCAAAAAAGGTCATATGGGTTATGGACGGCGAGTTGGAGAAAATTAAAATAATTACATTTTTAAAATGATATAATTTCCCATAAACCATTCAAAACGAGAACCTTCTCATCATTAGATGTACGTCTATAGGTGATTGTCGTAATCGTTCTGGTTCTACGTTCTGGCTAGAAATATTTGTAGTATATATTAATTCAAACTTTATCTAGTGCTCCTTATCTGTTGCCAAGCATATCAAAAGTATTTACTCAAAGATTACCAAGATACAGATAGCACCAGATACAAGCCAACGCTCCTTGGTGTACGCTTTTGCAGGCAATTCAAACACGTGCCATGCCTTGCACCCCAGCCATTTTACTCGTAGGTAAATATTTGTATGTCATACACGTTTAGTGGCATGAAATTGGCGGATATAAAATACATATACATATGAGTATTTTGATAATAACCGCATAAATAGGGTAACGTAGGTACATTTTGCTGGGATATTTCAGCAAATACTTCCCTGTTTAATATCCCTCTTTAAGGATATATTTTGGAACTGGTTCGTGCATTAGATAATCTTAAGAAATGGGAAGTCTTATGCCAAACAGAATGAGGTAGAAGGCAACCAGTATTTTGCCTACTTTCTTCCGCATTTCGGAGTTGGTTGGAATCTTTGCTATTTATTTTATTCCCAAATTCTTGTATGAAAATTCCCTACCACCAGGACATTTAAAACTGGTATTTCAAACATTAACGGAATCTCTTTGGTTTTCAATTTAGAAACAGAAAACAAATATGTTGACAATCTGAAATTATACGATACATGAAATTAGTTGTCCCTTCTATATCTACTCAATATTATTCGTCGTTTTTTGATAATTAATGATTTGAATGAAACCACTGCACCACAATGTGAAAAGGTTCTGCCCAAGCATTCATATGTGTTTATATGGTTTATGTGTTTATAATGACTTCCTTCCATGTGTGTCATAGTTAACCCTTCCATATATCCTTTTACTCTTGGAGAACTGGCTACAAAACCAGCGGAACTGGAGAGCACGCAAGAGAGAAACCTCAACGTGCGCTGCCATTTTTTATACATGGCATTTTTTCCATTGCGGGCTTTCCCATGCTTTGCGATACGCATCACCAGTTGCTTTTTTGCTCTAAAGAGGGTGGGGATAGGGTGGGCGTTGAGGTCAGTCCAGGGGTCGGTGGCAGAATGCGAAGTGTACTCGTATGAAAGGCCAGGCAACATGTTTGGCTCTTTGCCTTTGAGTCGCCGCGGGGCTGCAGCACTCTCGCGCAGTCCAACCTACACTGGGAGAAATGAGCCAATTAAATAAAAAAATGTAAAGTCAAGACAGACTTAGACTAGGATTGGTTAGAGCACAGACAACAGATGTTGTAATCTAATGTCTAAAATGTCTAAATTAAATAAGATCCTGCTGGTCCTGCTGATTGTTTA